AAACATTCCTCTCAGCATTAGACAACATTTATTTATTTATGTACAGTATGTGTGTGTGTATATATATATATATCGTAAATAAATGTCTAATTAGGGCTGCTCGATTATGGCAAAAACAATAATCACGATTATGGTGACTGAAATTGAGATCACGATTATTTAGGACGATTTTTCAATTTATGTTGATTTTATTTGTTTTTATTCAGTCATAAAATTGCTCAGGGCACAATCAGGACAAAAATAAGAAACAAGATGATCACTAAAAGAACTCCTGATTCCCAGTATAAAAAGACCAATATACTTATAGCTCATAGTCTATGACCCAAGGGCTATAGACCTTGGTTTAACTCATTTAAGTCTAACCAGTACAGACCCAAATACCAATATCTTGCAAATACTGACAGCAAGAATTATACAGTGGCATTTATAACAAATAAACGCAAATAAATTGATGTCCACAAAATGTTGCATAACATTTATTGAGTCATGTCAAGGTGCTGTAGGAGCGTGCACTAGCACCGTGTCCTCAGAGAGATTAGTTATTAGTTATCAGCGTGAGGAACTTATTTCTACCTTATTTATAAACTATTTATTTACAAGTCCATCAGTTAATGTAATAATTGTCCCAACCACAGCTGCACCCCCCAACCCGATCTCAGTAATCCGGGGCAAGCTGCACGTGTGTTTAGCGCGCCGCACGCGCACATTTAGCTGTTTTTATCGGCTCAGGAGTCCGCAGGTACGGTGTGTCTCACTCACTCTGGTTAATCCAACAGGGAGCCGGCTCTGAGAGCCGTTTCTTTAGCGACCGACACATCACTACATCATTCCCTTTCCTATAATGTCCTGAAGAACGGTCCGGAGCGCAGGCGGAGTGTTTAGCTAACCTGCAGGAAATGTCGACGACAGTTATCCAGAAAGTAGCTAAGGGTTACCAGAGATGTTTCTGAGGTGTTCGCTAGGTACTTTTAAGTTAAAAAGTCAAGAAGGGGGTCTGAAAAGCTGCTAGAAATAGCGTCAAAGTCGCCAAGTTGGCAACACTGTGGGAGGAGCGCTTCATTTGCAACTCAGGGCAGCGCAAGCGGGAGGAGCAAATAATCGGCTTGTTTTGTTTTTTATAATCGTTCAAAACTCAGATCGTAATCGTGATTCAAATTCGATTACTGGAGCAGCCCTATGAATGTTTTGTTCACATTTATGTGAACGTGTTTTATAGGTTGACGAGCTGACAGAGTGGATTGGTTCATGTTCAGGAATAGATAAACTAATAAAGAAGGGAGAGTTCCAGTTTCTGGACTTGGTGTTTGATGTCCTTGTCCCAGAGGTACAAAGCAGTCTTCAGCAGTGATTGCAAGTTACTTTTCGAAAACATCTGACAGTGTATGAATTAATCCTTGTGTGCATGTCTTTCAGGTGACAGTGTTGGAAAAATGGGAGGGGATGAATCGATATGCAGCTGAGAAAGCCATGCTTCAAAGAATTCTTTTGTACCCAAAATAAAATGGTTGTGAAATTAAGTGTTTCTTTTGTTTTGTTGTCTTTCACTGAAAATATTACAGAAATATTAACTAGCTAAATAGTTATCAGCTGTAGTAGTTACATTCTGTTGCAATGAGCTGCTGTGATACACATATAGGACAGTGTTAGGGATGCTTTGTAACATATTTTTGTTGCTGGTGAGAGAGGAGTGTTGCTGAAATGTTTTTCACTGATTCTGGGAGTCCTCTACTTTAGCAATTGGTGCAGATCAAAAGTTCATCTTGGGCTTAACAATAAAACTGAATATTAGGCAACTACTATTTTGTTTGCACATCTTGAAAAGTCTTAATGTGTTCTCATTTTTTCCATTAATGTTTTTTAATTCACTTTAGAGCCTTTTATTGTCGTTTTATATATATATAAAGTGTATATATATATATATATATATATATATATATATATATATATATATATATATATATATATATGAAGGACAAAGGGATTTACTATATAATTTTCATGAAGTTTACATACACTTGTAAAGAATATAATATAATGGCTCTACTGAGTGTCCTGTTATTTCTAAAACTCTGATTTTTCTCTGATAGAGTGATTGGAACAGATACTTCTTTGTCACAAAAACATTCATGAAGTTCGGTTCTTTAATGTCTTTATTATGGGTTAACAGAGAAAAGTGATCACATTTGCGGGGTCACAAATATACATACAGCAGTGCTAATATTTGGTTACATGTCCCTTAGCCATTTTCACTTCAATTAGGCGCTTTTGGTAGCCATCCACAAGCTTCTGGTTGAATCTTTGACCACTCCTCTTGACAGAATTGGTGAAGTTCAGTTAAATTTGATGGCTTTCTGACATGGACTTGTTTCTTCAGCACTGTCCACATGTTTTCAATGGGGTTTAATCAGGACTTTGGCAAGGCCATTCTAAAACCCTTATTCTAGCCTGATTTAGCCATTCCTTTACCACTTTTGATGTGTGTTTGGGGTCATTGTCCTGTTGGAACACCCAACTGCGCCCAAGACCCAACCTTCGTGCTGATGATTGTAGGTTATGTTGAAGAATGTGAAGGTAATCCTCCTTCTTCATCATCCCATTTACTCTCTGTAAAGCACCAGTTCCATTGGCAGCAAAACAGACCCACAGCATAATATTCCCACCACCATGCTTGACTGTAGGCATGGTGTTCTTGGGGTTAAAGGCCTCACCTTTTCTCCTCCAAACATATTGCTGGGCATTGTGGCCAAAAAGCTTGATTTTTGTTTCGTCTGACCACAGAACTTTCCTCCAGAAGGTCTTATCTTTGTCCATGTGATCAGCAGCAAACTTCAGTCGAGCCTTAAGGTGCCGCTTTTGGAGCAAGGGCTTCCTTCTTGCACGGCAGCCTCTCAGTCCATGGAGATGCAAAACACGTTTGACTGTGGACAATGACACCTGTGTTCCAGCAGCTTCTAATTCTTGGCAGATCTGCTTTTTGGTGATTCTTGGTTCACTCTTTAGCCTCCTGACCAATTCTCTCTCAGCAGCAGGTGATAGCTTGCGTTTTCTTCCTGATCTTGGCAGTGATGAAACAGTGCCATGCACCTTATACTTACAAACAATTGTTTGCACTGTTGCTCTTGGGACCTGCAGCTGCTTTGAAATGGCCCCAAGTGACTTTCCTGACTTGTTCAAGTCAATAATTCGCTTTTTCAGATCCATGCTGAGCTCCTTTGACTTTCCCATTGTAGCGTTTGTGGGCGTTTGTATCCATTGAGCCCTATTTACCTGGCCTAAGAGAAGTCACCAGCTGTAGTCACTCATAATCACTCACAAGAAGTTAAGAGGCCATGCTATGAAGCTCAGTTCACTGACACGTTTCTAAGTCACCTAAATTGCTAGTTCATGTTGCTGTATGTATATTTGTGACCCAGCAAATGTGATCACTTTTCTCTGTAAACCCATAATAAAGACATTAAAGAACCGAACTTCATGAATGTTTTTTGTGACAAAGAAGTATCTGTTCCAATCACTCTATCAGAGAAAAATCAGAGTTTTAGAAATAACGGGACACTCAGTAGAGCCATTATATTATATTTTTTACAAGTGTATGTAAACTTCTGACCACAACTGTAGGTAACGACGTTACTTAAATGTTCGCCAGTCCAAATTTGAAGAGGAAAAACTGTGCACTGTGGAGTACTTTACAACAGACGTTACGACGCAGAATGGCTTTAAGGCCCAACCGCAGTGTTGGTAACTTTAAAGTACTATAGATCTTAAAATATTCTAATAAATAGCGTACTTATGATGTTGTGACTATCACGTGACTTTGCTAGAAGCGCTCAGTGGCGTAGCACGTCCTGTGTGACCACTTGCCTCTTCAAAACAGCAGCGCTACGTGTCTATATCCGGTGTGCTCCAAGCTTAACGGTTAGCTTCTACTAGCCGAGACGTTCTCTGCTGTTTGCTGGACACTAAATCAACAACAGCCTTCCCCATCGTGAGCCAAGATGGGTGAGTCCATGAATGTTAGTGACAGTGTGATGTAGACCTTCTAATCCTAGAGTTTTACCGTCTGTTTTCTATCAGAAGCTACTGCAGGAGATAGGTGTAGGAGACGATTTTCAAGTTCAGCCTGCATGAAAAACTGAGAGTCACCGATCATATCTTGCAGGTTAGATTAGAGACTCCCTTGAACCAATGTTTAGAGAAACAACAAAGTAACTTTGCAATGCAAAACTAGTGAAAACAGACTCCATAACACAACCTATCTGTATGAAAACTACCTACTGGCCACACTGAGCTTGAGGCGGGACTAGCTTATAACACCCCACCTTAAAGAGCAAGTCACCCCCAAATAAACATTTTTTTGCTGATAAACTAAATTAACGAGTGTCTCATCGTGCTGCAGACACGTGTCGTCAATAATTTGGTACTTCAGTGCATCTTAGTTCAAATTTAAATATTCTGCCTAAAACTGGCAGTGTTGTGCCGTTGTCAGGTAAAAACTCTGCACTGTATTTTAATTTAAATCTGCCACCGCTATTGGCTAAGAGGTATGCTATGATGTAAGCTGGTACATTATGATGTCACAATGCTGTCGTGAGCCTGTGTGTGTGTGTGTGTACTTGTTAGCAGCTCTGCCTTCTCGGTCTGCCAGGCGACAGAATTTGTTGCATTTTTCAAACAGGAAGTGGGAGTTGAGTAAGAATCTGGTAGGGGGTGACTTGCTCTTTAAGTCAGAGGTTATGATTTGGGGGGGGGGGGGGGTCGCTTCTCTAAACTATTTTTGGACATCACTTTATGTGAAATAAAAAAATAACCTGCTCTTTAAGAAAAACGAGAATTGCACATGCATGTGTTGACAGCATTTGACGCTTTTTCTGCTTTAACATTCACAGAGTGAATAAAAAGGAAGTGACCTAGAACCGTGTTACCATGGTGCCACCATCATAGTCAGACCACGGGCCTGCATGGTGAGCTTCTGTTGATGCTGAGGAGCAGGGGTTTGGGTCTACCTGAAGAGCATGCTGGACGCAGCCAGAACCACCTTGTGTGCCTGGTGTTGAGAGTCCCCCACCATGATTGTGCAGTCACAGAAGAGCCCCTCGCTCCTCAGGAGCATCAGCTGCTGCATCAGCTGTCTGCTGAAGTCGGCCAGCTCCATCATCTTGAACACTGCAGACAATCATACTCTTAGACTACAAATGACTTTAAAAACATTGTGTTTGCTTACACACTGGAGCGGTTTAGTAAAGTAGCGTGTTGTTTCTGCTCCAGAAGAGTCAGTAGCTTTAGCTATGCATGCTAACACCGTCAGGTCAGGAGTCACGACTCTGTTAATGAAACACGTCTGAGTGAAGCGATTCTGGTGCTAGCTACGATTCTCATGACCGATTTACCTCCAGTTCTAAAGATCCGTCTCTTTATTAAGTTCACATTGCTGCACAAATCCAGCGTGTGCAATAAAGCTTAGCCGTTTTGAAAATGGCGACGACGACATAGACATGAATACGTAGACACTTCATTTGGCGCTGAAGAGCGTAACAGCGTCGCCGCCACATTGGATGGGTCTCCTCACGCAAAGTCCCTTCTTGTGCAGCCAACAACAACTGTCGGTCCCTCTAGCCCAGGGTCGGAAACCTTTTCCCATCAAAGAGCCATTATTACCCGTTTCCCATGGTAAAGAGCATAGACATATATATTACTATAACTATAAATCATGGAGCCGCAGCAACCGCGGCGTTGTGGGCGGGGCCTAACCTACCCTAGGACAGCACAGAGCTGTAGAAGTTGGAACCATAGATATCATATATTAACTAGATCCCTCGCCCGCGCTGTTCGTCAATGGACCCTGACGTCCGTACGTGGCGGCCGTCTTTGTTTACTTCGGACAGCTGGCCTCCTCTAACGCTGGTGTTTAGTGGTGCATGCACTATTTAAACAACTCTAACTTTCTCAGTTTTCAACCGATTTTCATAGGGGTTGATTTTTTAGAAACATTAGAGATGTGGCTATGAAATATATTAGTTTTGGCAGGAAACTCCCCTTATTTCACTCCACTTTCCAGCTGTTTTCCCCTATCCTGACAATTTCCCATAGACTTACTGTTTAAATGTCAAGATCTGCTTCTGATGAACTAGCTGTAGTTTGTAAACGGAGGTCAACTTATAAATATGAGTTTTAAGATACCTTATAACCAGTGGCAACTCCAGAAATGTTTTTCTGCAGGTGCTATGAAGGAGCTAGTCTTTTTATTGAGGGCGCTATGAAGGAAGTGGTCATGCGTACCTACTGTTCTCTAAAACACCTTCAACACTAGCTGATACACATGCGTGCACAACACCTCAACAACACCTGAAACAATCATTAATATACATCATAAACATATGAACAATCGCTGATTTTTCCATGAAATCATAAATGCATACAGCCACACAGAAAACCATCTATAGTGTTGCAAGGTTAGCTAACGTTAGTGTTAGCATTTCCAGCGGCAAAAAACCCTCGACTAATGCGGCGGTTGAGGGTTGACTCTCTTTTTTTCCTCCACCTGACTCAATCCTCATGTAAACCCCTCTGATCTTTATTAAGGTAGCATGACTCACGTTGCGAATGACCACAGTCACCAATTCTTGTCATGTGTCTATGCCTATGTATGTATGTCTGATCTCAGAATTGTGTGTACTGAAAGTCTAATTTCCCTCTGGGATTAATAAAGTATCTTTGAGTTGAACTGAATTAATCCAGATCCGTAGGTTTTTGTGGGTCTGAGATCACTTCCAAAGATTCATTCGTTTCTGACTGAACCCATGGAAATGTGGGCAACAAAAACCGATCCATTTTACCACTAGCTCTGCCTTTCACTCGTTCACAGGTGGAAAATGAGGTCAAAGGTTAACATCAATTTCCTGTTTTGGTTTAAGTTTTTACTATCTAGATAATTTACTGATTATTTTTGTTTTGTATGTAAAATATTATCACATCCACACGTTAAATTAAAATTAAATTGTAAAAAATAAAAAAATCTTATATTTACTTGGGGTGCTATGGGGGTGCAATGACTAATCCAGGGGTAGCTATAGCGCCCCCTAGAGCCCCCGGTGCTGCCACTGCTTATAACTTTCCATATCAACTTATAAATAAAAACTCAAGTACCTGGTTTAATTTACAGAAAATAGTAAAACAAAATAAATAAATACGCATGTAACCGGGTCACCTTAGTTCCCGGAAGTAATTCTGGTCGGACGTGCAGTGCGAGCAGACTATTTATTTATTTTTATTTAGTAAATTTACAAACAAACATGGCACTTTGACAATGTTAAGTCCAAAACTTAAATTGAAAAGGAGCAGTTAATATAACATTTGTAAATATCCAGTAAAAAGACAACAACAAAAAACAAAAGAACATGAAGAACAAGTACAGCTTTCAATGAGGGTACAGCATAGAATTAGGAAATCACTTTTGAAGTTCAGCTAACATGTTATATAGATTTTCGCTATATTTGTTGACTTGTTTCAGGGATTTTAAATATGATTGAAATTCTATTTAAAAACCATTGAAGACAGGGGATGATTGTAAAATTCATTGTTTATGGATAAAAAATTTGGCTAAACAGAGGATGCTATTATAGCAGAGTTCTTTATCTTTATTATTGAATATAATTCCAAATATTATCATATATTTAGTGATGTGAACTGGGAGGGGTAATTTTATTTTTGATCCACACCTCTAGCTTTTTCCAGAACAATTGTGTTTTCTGACAGTCATAAAATATATGATCTATAGTTTCTATGTGACTTTTGCAAAAAGAGCAGTTGTTGCTATCAATATTAAAATGAGCTCTTAACAATTCTTTTGAAGGATAAATTGCATTCATTATTTTAAAGTGGGTTTCTTTAGCTTTCGGTGGTATAGGTAATTTAGGTAGATAGTTCTTATTTTCTCAACAGACGTTTTATCAAATTTGTAAATTATGTTATTTTTGTTTGTTTTTCCAGGAAATAGAGATTCATTTAAGGCTGATCTTATTGTAAGATTGTTGCATTTTTGTCACGACGTGCCAGTGAGTGGAACGGAGGTGAGGATCCAGACGCCGGGGAGGAATCAGGCAGGTAGACAAACTGGGTAACGTAAAAGGATTTAATAACAAACGCACGCAGGACATGGGAACAATGAGCCAACAAGAGACACAGAACTGGATGGGTTTAAATACAAGAGGGCTGGGAGCTTGGGGAGACGGCGTCGTCGACCACTGGACTGGAGATGGCGGCGTCGACCACTGGACTGGGGATGGCGTCGACCACTGGACTGAGGACGGCGTCGACCACTGGACTGAGGACGGCGTCGACCACTGGACTGGAGGAGGAGACATCGACCACTGGACTGGAGGAGGAGACGGCGTCGACCACTGGACTGGAGGAGGAGACGGCGTCGACCACTGGACTGGAGGAGGAGACGGCGTCGACCACTGGACTCGAGGAGGAGACGGCGTCGACCACTGGACTCGAGGAGGAGACGACGTCGACCACTGGACTGGGGACGGCGTCGACCACTGGACTGGGGACGGCGTCGACCACTGGACTGGAAGGAGCGTCGACCTCTAGACTGGAAGGAGCGTCGACCTCTAGACTGGAAGGAGCGTCGACCTCTAGACTGGAAGGAGCGTCGACCTCTGGACTGGAAGGAGCGTCGACCTCTGGACTGGAAGGAGCGTCGACCTCTGGACTGGAAGGAGCGTCAACCTCTGGACTGGAAGGAGCGTCGACCTCTGGACTGGAAGGAGCGTCGACCTCTGGACTGGAAGGAGCGTCGACCTCTGGACTGGAAGGAGCGTCGACCTCTGGACTGGAAGGAGCGTCGACCTCTGGACTGAGGACGGCGTCGACCACTGGACTGAGGACGGCGTCGACCACTGGACTGAGGACGGCGTCGACCACTGGACTGAGGACGGCGTCGATCAATGGACTGGAGGAGGAGACGTCGACCACTGGACTGGAGGAGGAGACGTCGGTCCGGCGTCGACCACTGGACTGGAAGGAGCGTCGACCTCTAGACTGGAAGGAGCGTCGACCTCTAGACTGGAAGGAGCGTCGACCTCCAGACTGGAAGGAGCGTCGACCTCTAGACTGGAAGGAGCGTCGACCTCTAGACTGGAAGGAGCGTCGACCTCTGGACTGGAAGGAGCGTCGACCTCTGGACTGGAAGGAGCGTCGACCTCTGGACTGGAAGGAGCGTCGACCTCTGGACTGGAAGGAGCGTCGACCTCTGGACTGGAAGGAGCGTCGACCTCTGGACTGGAAGGAGCGTCGACCTCTGGACTGAGGACGGCGTCGACCACTGGACTGAGGACGGCGTCGACCACTGGACTGAGGACGGCGTCGACCACTGGACTGAGGGAGACGTCGACCACTGGACTGGAGGAGGAGACGTCGACCACTGGACTGGAGGAGGAGACGTCGACCACTGGACTGGAGGAGGAGACGGCGTCGACCACTGGACTGGAAGGAGCGTCGACCTCTAGACTGGAAGGAGCGTCGACCTCTAGACTGGAAGGAGCGTCGACCTCTAGACTGGAAGGAGCGTCGACCTCTAGACTGGAAGGAGCGTCGACCTCTAGACTGGAAGGAGCGTCGACCTCTGGACTGGAAGGAGCGTCGACCTCTGGACTGGAAGGAGCGTCGACCTCTGGACTGGAAGGAGCGTCGACCTCTGGACTGGAAGGAGCGTCGACCTCTGGACTGGAAGGAGCGTCGACCTCTGGACTGGAAGGAGCGTCGACCTCTGGACTGGAAGGAGCGTCGACCTCTGGACTGGAAGGAGCGTCGACCTCTAGACTGGAAGGAGAGTGGACCTCTAGACTGGAAGGAGAGTGGACCTCTAGACTGGAAGGAGAGTGGACCTCTGGACTGGAAGGAGAGTGGACCTCTGGACTGGAAGGAGAGCGGACCTCTGGACTGGAAGGAGAGCGGACCTCTGGACTGGAAGGAGAGTGGACCTCTGGACTGGAAGGATCGTCGACCTCTGGACTGGAAGGAGCTTCGACCTCTGGACTGGAAGGAGCGTCGACCTCTGGACTGGAAGGAGCGTCGACCTCTGTACTGGAAGGAGCGTCGACCTCTGGACTGGAAGGGGCGTCGACTTCTGGACTGGAAGGGGCGTCGACCTCTGGACTGGAAGGGGCGTCGACCTCTGGACTGGAAGGGGCGTCGACCTCTGGACTGGAAGGGGCGTCGACCTCTGGACTGGAAGGGGCGTCGACCTCTGGACTGGAAGGGGCGTCGACCTCTGGACGGGATGGAGCGTCGACCTCTGTCGGCTTCTGGTCTGGAGGCGCCGACTTCTGGACCGCCAACTTTTGGACCGCCGACTTCTGGACCTGGACTGTCGGCTTCTGGTCCGGAGGCGAAGGCTTCTGGACCGCCGACTTTTAGACCTGGACCGTCGATTTCTGGACCGGAACCGTTGACTTCTGGACTGGAACTGTCGACTTCTGGACTGGAACTGTCGGCTTCTGGACTGGAACCGTCGACTTCTGGACCGGAACCTTCGACTTCTGGACCAGAGGCGTCGACTTCTGGACCAGAGGCGTTGACTTCTGGAGTGGAGGCGGAGCCACTGCAGGAGGGGCCGCTGACTTTTGGAGTGGAGGCG